GCAGCCGTCTACCAGGAGATTTTGGAGCACTTAATGCTTCCTTCCGCAGACGAGCTTTATAGGGATGCTGACTTCATTTTCCAGCAGGACTTGGTACCTGCCCACACTGCTAAAAGCACCAAAGCCTGTTTCAATGACCGTGGAATTACTGTGCTTGATTGGCCAGCAAACTAGCCTGACCTGAACCATAGAGAATCTATGGGGCATTGCCAAGAGAAAGATGAGAGACATGAGACCGAACAATACAGAAGAGCTGAAGGCCGCTATTGAAGCATCCTGGTCTTCCATAACACCTCAGTAATGCCACAGGCTGATAGCTTCCATGCCACACCGCCTTGAGGCAGTAATTGCTGCAAAAGGGGCCCAAACCAAGTACTGAGTCCATATGCATGCTTATACTTTTCTGAGGTCCGATGTTGTTCTATGTACACTCCTTGTTTTATTGATTGCATGAAATATTCTAATTTACTGAGATTGTAGATTTGGGGTTTTCATGAGCTGTAAGCCATAATCATCGCACTTATGACAAATCAGGGCTTAAACTATCTTGCTTTGTATGTAATGCGTCTATCTCATATATTAGTTTCCTCTTTTATGTTGCATTAGTGAAATAAATGAACTTTTGCACAATATTCTAATTTTTCGAGTTTGACCTGTATATTCGAAGCAAGGTCAAGTTACCAGTGGGGTACCTCAGGGATCTGTACTTTGACTCATTCTCTTTAATATTTTTATTGGTAATGTTGCAGAAGTTCTTGATAGTAAGGTATGTCTTTTTGCTGATGATAATAACATTTGCAACAAGGGTGATGTTCCAAGAGGTATAAATGATTTAGGTAAATTAGAAAAATGGTTAGAGCTGTGGCAACTGACATTTAATGTGGATAAGTGCAAGATAATGCATCTCGGGAGTAAAAACCCAAGGGCAGAGTATACAAAATTTGATACTCTACTAGCCTCAACATCTGAGGAAAGGGATTCCGGGGAAATTATTTCAGATGACTTAAAGGTAGGCAGACAATGTAATAGACCAGCAGGAAATGCTAGCAAAATGCTTGGTTGTATAGGGAAAGTTATTAGCAGTAGAAAGAGAGAAGTGCTCATGCTATTGTACAGAACACTGGTGTACTCTAATACTTGGAGTATTGCACGCAGTACTGGTGACAATATATTCTAAAAGATATTGATACTTTGGAGAGAGTTCAGAGAAGGGCTACTAAACTCGTTCTTGGACTGCAGGATAAAACTTACTAGGAAAGGTTAAAGGATCTTAACATGTATAGCTTGAAGGAAAGACGAGACAGGGTGGATATGATCGAAACATTTCAATACATAAACAGAATCACTGAATCCCTAATCAACAGTAAAAGTGGAGACTATATTTAAAAGAAGAAAATCTACCACAACATAGTCTTAAATTAGAGGGGCAAAAGTTTAAAAATAATTTCAGGAAGTATTACATTTTACTGAGAGGGTAGTGGACGCATAGAATGGCCTTCCAGTTGAAGTGGTAGAGGTTAACACAGTGAGGGGGTGTGACGGCCGGCAGGCACTCCGACCGGGTAACTCCGCCAATCAATGCTCCTAGTGCTTGCCGAAGAATCCAAACACTCCACTAGACACCATAAGCACTGCAGACCCCACTTCCAGCAATGCAGCTGTGCCAGGGTCTCGCCGTCCTCCACCCACCCTGGACCCAAGACCAGGATCCAGCTTCCAGTGGGTATACCTCTCCTACTCCAGAAAGCGTAGGAGGAACAAGCTCTTACAAGAGCTTATACTCAGTGGGGTATTGTGATTATAGCAATCCCCAAGAGTGTAGTTATCCCATCCTGAAACATGGGCCAGGGCTTCAAGAAGGGGTCAAGCAGGTCTGTTTAAAGGGACACTATAGTCACCTGAACAACTTTAGCTTAATGAAGCAGTTTTGTAATATAGAACATGCCCCTGCAGCTTCACTGCTCAATCCTCTGCCATTTAGGAATTAAATCCCTTTGTTCATGAACCCTAGTCACACCTCCCTGCATGTGACTTGCACGGCCTTCCATAAACACTTCCTGTAAAGAGAGCCTTATTTAGGCTTTCTTTATTGCAAGTTCTGTTTAATTAAGATTTTTTTATCCCCTGCTATGTTAATAGCTTGCTAGACCCTGCAAGAGCCTCCTGTATGTGATTAAAGTTCAATTTAGAGATTGAGATACAATTACTTAAGGTAAATTACATCTGTTTAAAAGTGAAATCAGTTTGTTTTTTCATGCAGGCTCTGTCAATCATAGCCAGGGGACGTGTGGCTAGGGCTGCATAAACAGAAACAAAATGATTTAACTCCTAAATGACAGTGAATTGAGCAGTGAAATTGCAGGGGAATGATCTATACACTAAAACTGCTTTATTTAGCTAAAGTAATTTAGGTGACTATAGTGTTCCTTTAATGTAAGCCAGCATTCACAATTTATACAATTCATCAGGCCAGAGGCACACCCCCTGGACCTGGTGGTACACAGGCGCACAAACAATACAACAATGTCCGACATTCCCATTTACAGCACACAAGCCCCCCCCTCTGCCTGGGATATAATTAAAGCAGCTAATACAATAACCTAATTATCCACAGGCAGAAAAACACACATTTTCCCTAAAGTCCAGAAAACACCCCAAAATCACCCAGATCAGAGCAGGGGTTCAAAAGTTTTTTATGGAAGTCACATCTGACCAACCGTAAGCATGGCTTTCATGCACAATACAGTTCCACAGATTTAGGCTGTGCGGCCGGTCTATCTTACTGGAGATAATTGGCTTAAGTGGCTGTGGTAACTTAATTATCTCCAGGTACAGGAAATATCTCAGATAATAAGTCAGAAACTGTTAGAAAAACCACATAAAAATACATTACTCTTATAATACAATGTTTAACCTATATGTCCAACATATCCCCAGATAGCTTGGATCTGAGCGCTCAATATGTCCAATGTTAAAAGTGCCCTATAGTACAAATAAGGGTGGGGTCAGAAAATAGCAAGGGCTGATGCGAGATTTAGGAGGGACAAAGCAGCCAGTTTAAACTGGTCTGGCAGTGTCCCTGGGACAACGCCCTGCTGGAGAAACAATAGGACAGGAAAAAGGGGATGGGGAAGAGGCACATTTTCCCATGGATTTAAAAAGGCAGAAAAAGTGTTTTAAAATTAAATATGCCCAAATAATGCTTTTAAAGGGCAATACATCCCAGGGGCCATAGTCACAGGGTAAGGGGCTGGCAAGTAGGCCTTTCCAAGTACAAGTGCAATGTTTAAGCATGTGTGAGATAGGTATAAGGCTATCCTAGCTCTAAGATAAGGCCAGAGACTAATTAAAGTATTTAGAAAATTGGGCAGACTAGATGGCCTGAATGTTTCTCATCTTCCATCACATTCTATGTTTCTATGCTTCAATATAAAAGAATGTATACAGTGCTCCATGACACATGTAATATATTTATTACAATGTAGTTGTGGAGCTCAACATATTGGCATGACCACCCGCAAATTACATGTAAGACTTTATGAACACTTCCACAATATTATGCTGCTACATCATCTGACTTCTTGTAAGTGCATTCTTGTACCAATAAATTTAAAGTTTTATATCATCAGCACTATATATTTCCTTTTAACCTTTGAGTGAATAAGAAGAATTCCATTGAAGATTTCAAAGCTTCCTCGAAGTTTACACCCTTCTTGAAAGGGAGACATGCCTGCAATATTTTCCTTTTAGAGAATTTTCTACCACTTCCCCCTACTCCTGTGTCCTATTGTACTACACCATATATTTTTGTTTCTTTTTTCAGATTTTTATATGAATATTTTATATATTTGAGATATTATCTAATACATATGCATTAAAGTTGTATATTTATTTGACATTCACCTTGGTGTTTTTTCACATACCTCATTCCCTTAGGGTTTTTTTTCTGTTGGTTATTAGGTATTGTTTGAGTGTTTAAAATGGAACACTTTTTCTTAAAGGGTTCGGTACGTTTTGCAATTATAGTGTTTTCTGGATGTTTTACAGCCCTTACTCAACTTATATGGGCCACATAAGAAGACACAGCATGTCGGAAGAATCCGAGACCAAGTTCGGGACACAGCTTAAAAAAAAGGGATTTTTGGGTCCAGAGCATCGGACCATATGGCAGTCGGGGCAGCACACATAATATGTTAGGCATAGGCTAATTAACCTGTCCACTCCTTAACAATTTTCATGCCTCAGTTTAGCTGGCACTTTATGCTATACTATTTTAGGGCAATCCTGTCTATAAGTTACTCACCTATGACACACATTTCTACAGCTGGCACCCGGTCTTACTACTCATAATTTTCCTTCACTGGAGCTACTTTACTTCATTATGATTTTGCCGAGCCTGACATGAATATTTGTGAAGCAGCACTGTTCTTATTTCGTGTTTTACTTAGCTTGATCTTTTACCTTATCTAAGCTTTCACTATTATAAAAAAAAGTGCAGATTGTGAAGGTCAGCATCCGCGCGCCACGGTCTCGGGTCCTCAGTGATAGGGATCGACCGATATTGATTTTTCAGAGCCGATACCGATACCGATATTCTGTGAACTTTCAGGCCGATAGCCGATATAATTTGCCGATATTCTGTACATTTACCAAAATAAAAACTATTTCTAAAGGTAAATGCACAAAATATACATGCCACGTGTAGTGGATGCAGTGTGACAGGGGAGCTGTGTGTGTTTGTGTAGTGTGTGTGTGTAGTGGATGCAGTGTGTGTGTGTAGTGTGTGTGTTATGGATGCATTGTGTGTGTGTAGTGTGTGTGGAGGATGCAATGTGTGTTTGTGTAGTGGATGCAGTGTGTATTTGTCTAGTGTGTGTAGTGGATGCAGTGTGTATTAGTGTAGTGTGTATATAATGAAAGCAGAGTGTTTGTGTATTTGTGTAGTGTGTGTATAGTGAATGTAGTGTGTTTATATAATGCAGAGTGTGTGTGTTTGTATAGTGTGTGTATATAATGCAGTGTGTTTGTGTAGTGTGCATTATATAAACACACTACACAAACACACTGCATTATATACACACACTACACACACTGCATTAAACACACTACACAAACACACACACACACTGCATTATATACACACTACACAAACACACACTGCACAAACACACTACATAAACACACACCGAATTATATAAACACTACACAAACACACTGCATTATATACACACACTACACAAACACACTGCATTATATACACACTACTGCATTATATACACACAACACACACTGCATTATATACACAGTGTGTTTGTGTAGTGTATGTGTATATAATGCAGTGTGTGAGGGGGCATTTTTTATTAAATTATTTAAAAAAAATTATATTTACTTTATTATTTATTTTTGTTGTCCCCCCTCCCTGCTTGTTACCTGGCCAGGGAGGGGGGATATGACAGTCCCTGGTGGTCCAGTGGCATTGGCTGAGCTGGGGGGGGGCGGAGAGCAAGCGCTTACTCACCTCCCAGCAGCTCCTCCAGCTCCCCAGTGCAACTCTCGCGGCCAGCGTGTCGCGCGGAGCGTTGCCATGGTGATCCATGGCAACGCTCTGACGGCCGCGGGTCTCGCGAGAGTTGCACTGGGGAGCTGGAGGAGCTGCTGGGAGGTGAGTAAGCGCTTGCTCTCCCGCCCCCCCAGGACCGCCGGGCTTGTAATGAGCCTGGCAGGTCCTAGGAGGTATTATCGGCAATATCGGTATCTGAATTGGCCGATACCGATATTGCCGAGAATACCGAATATCGGCCGATTATATCGGTAAAACCGATAATCGGTCGATCCCTACTCAGTGAGTCCGAGTCCTTCCCAAATTGGGCATGACGGAAGGCACAGGTGTTCGGCGGATGGTCTACTGGCGATGTGGCCGATGCTTCTGGGGCAAACCCCTTGTGGTCTTCGGCCTAGTAAGGCGAGCAGAAAGAGCTATGCCCGAGAGAGGCACCTTCAACCTCTGGCATCTGAGGTAGGTGTGGTGTGGGAGTTGTGCTGTTCTAGATCACACTCCACAATTTTGACCAAAAGCTGGCAAAGGCCCTATCCAGGCACTCTTCCCATGAGGTCCAGGAGGCAGTAATCTGCCTCGTCATTGTTGCCACTACATTTTAGGTTGGTTAGAGCCAGAGGAGTACTCCGTGGGAACCTTCTTCTCGGTATGAGGAAAGGGCCATTTCCCCAGTGGAAACCGGGATAACCCCCACCGGTTCAGAGTGGGGGGAAAAGTGGGTGTAGGAGCATGCTGGGTGACCGCTACTGACCTTGTGTGGCGAAAGTTACCTCGCCACTGGATTTTGGAGGGGCCTGTTTGCCCGCCTCCTACCTTCTGACTATGGCCCCTGGGAGAGTTTGTCTTTTATAAACATTGTTTGGGCTTATTGGATTTTGGGACACTTTTTCTGCCCCTTTGAATCCATGGGAAGGTGTACCTCCTCCCCTCCCCCCCATTGTTCTCCAACAGGGCGTTGTCCCAGGGACCCTGCCAGACCAGTTGGAACTGGCTGATTTGTCCCTCCTCGGTCAAAAAAAGGACTTCCAACTAACTTTTTAACCACTGAAGGGAATTGTCTGAACATTTTTCTATACATTTATTTTGTACATTTACCATTGTGGAAAAAATAAACGATTTCTAAAGGTAAATGGTGAATGCAATGAGTGTTTGTGTAAAGTGTATATACATAGTGAATGCAGAGTGTGTGTGTTTGTGTAGTGTGTGTATAGTAAATGCAGTGTGTGTGTAGTGTACGTAAAGTGAATGCAGTGTGTGTGTAGTGTGTGTATAGTGAATTCAATATGTATATATAATGAATGCAGAGTGTGTGTTTGTGAAGTGTGTGTATAGTGAATGCAGTGTGTTTGAGTAGTATGTGTATATAATGAATGCAGAGTGTGTGTTTGTGTAGTGTGTATACAATGCAGAGTGTGTGTGTGTTTGTGTGTGTGTGTGTGTGTGTGTGTGTAAATTTAATGCAGAGTGTGTGTTTGTGTTCGGTGTGTGTATAAAATGCAGAGTGTGTACATAATGCAGAGTTTGTTTGTGTAGTGTGTGTATATAATGTAGAGTGTGTGTGTTTGTGTAGTGTGTGTGTGTTGTGTAAAATGGGGGGGGGTGCATTTTTTTACATAGCTAAAAAGAGACTTGCGTCCATCAAGTTCAGCCTTCCTCACATATGTTTTTGCTGTTGATCCAAAAGAAGGCATAAAAACCTAGTCTGAAGTGCTTCCAATTTTGCAACAAACTAGGAAACATTCCTTCTTGACTCCAAAATAGCAGTCAGATGTCTCCTTGGATCAAGCAGCTATTACCCCACTAATTAGAAATTATATCCCTGTATGTTATGTTTTTGCAAGTATTTATCCAATTTCAGTTTAAACATATGTATGGACTCTTATAAAACCAACTCTTCAGGCAGAGAATCACGTATCTTTATTGCTCTTACTGTAAAAAAAACTTTTCTTTGCCTTAGATTAAATCTCCTTTCTTCCAGCCTAAATGTGTGACCTTGTGTCCTATCAGTCCTATCTGTTTATGAATAGACTCGCGGGACTCGCAAGATTTACACAGGGGAGCTGCTGGAAAGGTAAGTACTTGCTGCGGACCCTCCCCCAGGACCGCCGGGCTTGTAATAAGCCCGGCGGTCCTGGTATGTCTTATCAGCAATATCGGTATCTTTATTGGCCGATAATGATATTGCCGAAAATACCAAATATCAGCCAATAATATTAGACAGATCAATAATAATGTTTTCCCTTAGCAACCATGAATTACACAGCATTGTAAAATGTCCAGACAGTTTGCGTGGATACACAATAATAATGCAATATTGGCACCTACCTATGTGTTACTTGAGACCCTCTCAAACTGGACATTGTTTCCTCCAAGTTTTGTCTCAGGTCCAGAACATTCTGAACTGTTCTTTTACGCTGAGTTTCAGGATCTACAATAGAAACAAAGGACAAGCAATTGAAAGAACTCCTATTACAGGAAGCAAATCACTATATGGACAGGAACCATTAAAATAAATATATATATTTATATATATATATATATATGTTTTCTTGTATTAAAGGACCACTATAGTGCCAGGAAAACATACTCGTTTTCATGGCACTATAGTGCCCTGAGGGTGCCCCCACCCTCAGGGACCCCCTCCAGCCGGGCTGGATGGCGAGGAAAGGTTTCCTCCTCCTCTCCTCCTCCGATCCGCCTCTTCGGCTGAATGCGCATGTGCGGCAGGAGCTGCGAGCGCATTCAGCCAGTCTCATAGGAAAGCATTCATAATGCTTTCCTATGGACGCTGGCGTCTTCCCACTGTGATTTTCACAGTGAGAAGCACGCAAACGCCTCTAGAGGCTGTCAATGAGACAGTCACTAGAGGCTTTAGAGGCTGGATTAACCCATTTATAAACATAGCAGTTTCTCTGAAACTGCTATGTTTATAAAAAAAAACGGTTAATCCTAGAGGGACTTGGCACCCAGACCACTTCATTAAGCTGAAGTGGTCTGGGTGCCTACAGTGGTCCTTTAAGTATAATAAAAAAGCAAATCACAAGTATATTAAACAAAACAGGTAGATGTTAAATATTAGGGACCAGTATGGCATATTCAAAGTTGACTTCTGCTTAGAGACAAAATTCAGTTAGACCAACTCAAATAGTCAAAAAAAAATTGTTCCTATTACACATTTGGGTTATTTTCAGGGAAACAATTTGGGAGAACAATTACGATGAACCAAAGTGGCAGGAAAAGGTGCCTGTTAGTGTGCAGCTAATCAAAAACTGCTAAATTATGCCTATCCTGATGGCTATGCGATATCAGGCATTTTTGCAATGCAAATCTAAAGTGCCAAAACCATATATTTCATTCAGAATAAAATTTTTAAAAAAGCAAGTAAATAGGTGAAAGTTTTGGTTTTACAATGAGTGTAGCAGGTACAGAAGTCATTTTAAGTTGAAAACATGTTTCAGAATTGTTTTAGCAAATTCACCCAGAGAAGAAAAAAATATTTCTCACACATCCAGCCATTTATTTGGTGGTAAAAAGAGAAAGCCTAGTAGTGGGTGAAACGTGTTAGTGTCTAATTGGTTTTACATAAGTTTTGTTTTACATAAGGGGTTGACAAATTTGTTTGGAATTCAATGCCAAAAATACAATTCTTAAAGGGACACTAAAGGCTTCAAACTGTGCAGCACCTATGTTGATGTTCCCTATAGGGATGCATTGATTCAATGCATCTCTAGAAGGAGAAGTTGATTGGTGTAGTGGCATTTTGCCATGCATGCGCAATAGTCTACCAATGCTTTCCTATGCTTTTGAGATCGTCAAAATTGATGAACTCAGCCATAGAGGTGAGGCCAGCCGCAGAGTCACCTGCATGGCGTGGGAAAAAAGATGAGTAAATACACCTTTCCCATGTTATTGGATGTGGGCAGGTCACTTAAACACACACACTCACTGACAGAGACACACACCGACCGACAGACCAACACAGACACACACACGCACTCACATACACATACTCACACAGACACACATTCACAGACAGAAACACACACATACACACTCAGATAAACACACAGCACTGACAGATACACACACACAAACACTCACAGACAGACACATACACATGCACTGACAGACAGACACACGCACACACTCACAGACAGACACACACACAAATAATTTATTTCTTTATTTTACTTTAAATCCACCCAGCCTCCCTACCTTTGGAGATCTGGAGTGGATAGGCTTTCCCTGGGGTCCAGTGGGGCTGCTGTCATCTCCCTGCTCAGCTCCATCTCGCACACTGTTTAGTCATGCAGGGCACGGCTGAGCAGGGAGATTACATTATCTCCCTTCCACGCTGCCGCACTGTCAGCCGTCCATCCGCCTCCCTCAGCTCTCCATTACCCGGCGGCCCACCGCCCTCCCTTAGCTCTCCATGAGATAGAATACCGGCCACTCGCTTCCCCCTTTCAGCTCTCCATTACCCTGCCGTTCCTTCGCTCAGCCAGCCGCCCGCCTCCACCTTTCAG